AAATGAATTTCTTATGTTTGTATATTTGTTTTCCGTGGAACAGGCTTCGAGGGGTCTTCAGGTGCTGATGAGAGAAGAGAAAGAAAATCTGATTTTGAGAATTCTGAGGATGAAAGAAGGTCGAGGATTGGTTCCCTGAAGAAGAAAGCACTGAATGCATCAACAAAATTCAAGCATTCTCTCAAGAAGAAGAAGGGCAATAGACGAAAGAGTGATGGCCGAGTCAGCTCTGTTTCAATTGAGGACATCCGGGATGCTGAGGAGCTGCAAGCTGTCGAATCATTTCGACGAGGTTTGATATTGGATGACTTGTTGCCAGACAAGCTTGATGATTATCATATCATGTTGAGGTTATTATTCCTTTGTTGTTCCTACCTATAGTTAAATTCACAATTTTATTGAGGGAAGCCATAAAATACATTGTTGATTGTCATGTACTTGTCAAGGTATTCTCTCGTCCCATTAATATTGAGGTAATTAAAAATGGCCACGTGCCTGATTTACCAGCCACATTTAAATTCAAAATATTACATTAGCCTCCCTTCATCTGTTAGTGGGAATTTTTTTTACGCAATTGATGCAAACCCACGTATTGAGTCAAAGAACCAAGACAATCGTCAACAATATTTTGACCACGTGATCACAAAACTTATGAATCTTACTTAAATTGTTGGACGCCACAAGAATTTAATTCTTGATAAGTTCAGAATTAATTCAATGAAGAACGAGTTGAACACAATATATCTCGCAATAATATCTCTCAAATTGTTTGTTTTTACGATGAAAAGAATAATCATATTTATATGAAATCCCTAAAAACCTAATTAAAAACGGAATTAATATTCTAAATATCAAGAATTACCATAAAATTAGAGTTTTAATTAAATTAAGATTCTTTCCAAAAATTGAAAAATTCGCTTCCAGACTTGTGCTATGCGGCCGCATAGTGTTGGAACATACGGTCGCATAGTTCATAAAAAATTCACATTTGATTCTCGGTATAGAGGCATGCGGTCGCATGCTTTGGAATACTATGCAGTCGCATAGTTAACCTTTTCAGCCCTATTGTCCATCGCTTGAACCAAGTTGATCCATATTCTTCCTTTTTCCATGCTCAATATGAAACTTGTCATGTTGCTTGTTGCGATCGATGTTTTATCCACCATAGCTTGAACAAGTAATCACATGGCTTCTTTGACCTTCTTTGCTCTTGACCTTATTGGTCCTTCCTCCAGAATCAATGGGTTATTGTCATTGTCCTTGTTAGCTCTCGTACTATGATACTAATCAGCAATGCCAATATGTTAGGTGCCTCTGGTTTAAGAATAGCTTTTTATATTTTCTGATATGTTTTGTGTTTCTACAACTAGAGAAAAAATAAAAGATCATTACTCCGAGATGAATGTCTCTTGTAAACTTCAAGTATTTCTTCGAAAGGTTAATGGACAAACTTGTGCTGAAACGTGTAAACATATAATCATGAATCATCAAGCATATTCTGAAGTGCAAAAGCATGTAATAATGGTTTTGAATTCATGGAGGACAAAAAGATTTGCCTTTCTTGCTTTCCTTCTGATTCAGCAACTATTCCTTTTTTTTTATTTTTATGTTTTAGAAGACTGCTGAAGGAATTTGCTTGCAGGTTTTTGAAAGCAAGGAAATTTGATATTGAAAAAGCTAAGCGCATGTGGACCGATATGATTCAGTGGAGGAAAGATTTTGGGACTGACACAATTATGGAGGTAATTATATCCATTATGTTCACTGAAGTAACTAAACCAAATTGCCTGATTATCTTCAGGTTTTACTCATCTGTTGCCCAGTTTTAGCTTTTCTGCTTTGGTCAAATTTTTTTCATTAATTCCTGTCTTCTTCAGGGTTTTGAATTTAAAGAGTTGAATGAAGTTTTGAATTATTATCCCCATGGTTATCATGGAGTTGATAAAGAGGGAAGGCCTGTATACATTGAAAGACTGGGAAAAGTTGATCCCAACAAACTTATGCAAGTTACAACAATGGAACGTTACATAAAGTACCATGTCAGGGAGTTTGAGAAATGCTTTGCTATTAAGTTCCCAGCTTGTACAATTGCTGCTAAAAGACACATTGATTCAAGCACAACGATTTTGGATGTCCACGGTGTGGTATGTTACATGCTGTTTAACTTTTGTTTGTTTATTCATCACAATTTGTGTGCGCACAAATCTTTTATCAGTTTGATAAATAATATTTGTTGTGTTTTTTACCTTATATATATTTCTGATGTGGATTTCAGGGCTTGAAAAACTTCACTAAGAGTGCACGGGAACTCATTATGCAGCTCCAGAAGATAGATGGAGATAATTATCCTGAAGTAACTTTTAGATTTTTTTAACTTAATCAGTTCTATCAGGTTTTGAGAAACCTTGGGAACTAATAGATTGTGCCTTTTAATTTCTGCAGACACTTCATCAAATGTTTATCATCAATGCTGGTCCAGGCTTTAGGCTATTGTGGAGCACTGTAAAAGGTTTTCTAGATCCCAGGACCACCACTAAGATTCATGTATGTCAATGATTCTTCTTTTGTCATTTGGAAGCAGCACTTTTCTTGTTTGAAAGGCTGACTAACTTATAGGAATATCCCACAGGTTCTTGGAAACAAATACCAGAACAAGTTGCTTGAAATAATAGATGCAAGGTGAAGAGGCTGGAAATTATTATGAGCTGGCTTATTATATTGCTTTTAGCGGAAGAATCATTTGTCTTTTCTTTTTAATGTTTTTGAAGTTAAAATTTTGGGTTCATGCAGTGAGTTGCCAGAATTCTTGGGTGGAATGTGTACCTGTGCAGATCAAGGAGGCTGCCTTCATTCTGATAAAGGGCCATGGAAGAATTCAGGGATTTTAAAGGTCCTAATAATATTGAATTGATATAGAATGAAAAATATATAATTTTCATTGTTACAGTTTTCTTTCGCTTTGAAAAGATGATTGCTTTACATTGTGTTGCAGATGGTGCTTAATGGTGAAGCACGACGTGCAATGCAGGTTTTTAAAGTTCTTAACAGCGAGGGGAAGATCATTTATGCTAATCCTCTCTATTCGATGGTATGATCTCTGTGGCTTTTCTATATGATTGGGCACAGAAACTCAGCATGTCAGATTTAAGTGAAATCTTATTTTTATTTGGTTGTTGAAGCAGGTAAAAAGCAGTGATACGTCTACTGCAGAGTCTGGTTCTGAAGCTGAAGATATTGCTTCACCAAAAGCCATTAGGAATTATTCACATCTTCGGTTGACTCCAGTTCGTGAGGAGGTATGACTAAGCCTGTGAACTTCATTATTAGTTATTTTATTTTGGTCGTAGGTTTTGCAAATTTTGAACTCTGTGATTCTTTTCTTTTGAAGTTCCAAGAGAGTTTTAGTTGACAACAATATAAATGGAAGTACATTCCAAGCGGATAAAAATTGTTGATACATTGCAAGTGAATAAGGATTCAACTCTGTTCCACGTCTCCTCAATATAAGATTTTTGGTGAAAATTAAGATTCCTTTTATTTACAAAGGGATAACCCATTATCATGATGTATGTAAAAAGTGCTATAACTCCCATCTATCTTGCAAAAACTCCATATGCATTGATTATTTATACCTTTAACTATTAATAATTATCAGTTCCCCACAATTGTGGATTGATTATTTCTCTTGACGGTTTCATGTAATTTTTTACTCATTTCTCAGGCTAAGGCTATTAGAGCATCTAGCTCTGTTGGGAACTTGTCAGGGTATGAAGAGCATGTTCCCATGGTTGACAAAGCGGTTGATTTTGGATGGAAGAAGCAACCATCCCTTCCGAAGCCTTTTATTACTAAAGGTTAGTCTGTAAAGTATATTTCTAGATTTTACTTCCACGATCATCTGAAGCAACCATCCCTTCCGAAGCCTTTTATTACTAAAGGTTACTTTGTAATGTATATTTCTAGATTTTAGTTCCACAATCGTCTCCACGCCTCGGTGATAAACTTTGAAATTGGAATGCTATAGAGATCTTTCGTCCTTTTCTATTGTCTGTCCCGTATGAAATATGGACTTTATTACAAACTTCTAATTTATAGAATTTTTAAATACAGAAATGTCTCAAAAGGCCCCAGAAGGACTTTCTGATCGCATGTTGGCAGCTCTTATGGCCTTCTTCATGACCATTTTCATGTTCTTGCGTACACTATCATTCCGTGTCACCAAGAAATTGCCTGATGCATCATCGCACCACAAGCAAACAATTCAAGAATTTTCCTTAGACACGACTACAAAGGAGGAGTTTCGACCACCTTCACCAACTCCCCAATTTACAGAAGCTGAACTTCTATCTTCTGTTTTGAAGAGGTTGGGAGAGCTTGAAGAGGAGGTGAATACTCTTCAAGAAAAGCCATCAGAGATGCCTCACGAGAAAGAAGAACTGCTCAATGCTGCCGTTTACCGAGTTGATGCCCTAGAAGCGGAGTTAATCGCCACCAAAAAGGTATATTTTATAACATGCAACATTGGGTACAATTTGGTTCCACATTGCCGAGGAAAACTTGTTGACACGGTTATCACGTGTACATTTGTATGGGGGACAAATATTATTGAGTCTGGATAAGATAGACCGCTTATTTTAACTCTAATCAAAGGTAACTAAATTGATAATAAATTGTCTCTACTGAGCAGGCTCTGCATGAGGCTTTGATGAGGCAAGAGGAGCTGCTTGCATATATAGACCATCAAGAAGAATCCAAGTTGCAGGTGAGTTTTCGATCTTTGTTCTTGACATGAAAAATACAAGTATAAATTCATGTAGTTCTTTAGGAGATTTTTAGTTCAAACTCACTTTTTTCAAAGAGTTTTGACTTTCCAAAACTACTTTTAATTTTTCCTTTGGAGCCAAACATGCTTTATGACTCAAAACTCTCCTTTCCTCACACACGAGTTCACACTGATCCATGTCCTTCTGCTTTTGCCTTAAATTTGTTCGCGGTTGTATGCATGTCTGTTGCTAATATTTCTGCTTCTTTGTTTCACAGAAAAAGAAGTTTTGCTGGTAAAGACTTGTCTAGCACGAGGAGCATGGGGGTGGAGGATCTCGAAGATTTCTTTACACATGTTGAGGGGAACTCTGAAGTTTGGTTTAAGTTTGATTGACCTGAGATCTTTTTGAGTGATGTTTGAAATAATAGATATTCATTGCAAATCTATATTGCTATAGACTTGCTTTCGCACTAGAGAAAAACTGAAGAATACACCAAGAATTCAATTGAACATAGAGTGCGTTTGATTGTCAATATCTTCCATAAAAAATGTGTTTTTTTCACCAAAATTCCTATTTTTGTACTGTTTGATTGACTTTTTTTTTTTTTTTCATGGAAAACATTTTCCTCAAAATCAAGTAAATATTTTCTTTAGAGGGAGTAGGATTTTATTTTTCAGGGAATTTACTCTCTTATCTATCCCCTCTTTCATCTACCCACCAATAAAAAATAAACAAATATAATATTTTCTAGGTTAAAAATTAAATCAATCAAACACATCTAATTAATAGTTGTTGTACAAATAAGTTCTAGACAATTGAATTGTTTAAAATTTATTTTCTTTTCATACAAATTTTATGCTCACAATCAAACGCACCCTTAGATGCAAATTGTAGTATACTTTAAGGAGACCGAGTCTTCATACATAGACGAAGACATTTAAGTCACTGTTAGAGCTTAAAAACAATGGTGATAAACACAAAGATTACTCGAGCGATTGCAGCAGCAGACAATTTAATATACAAAAGCTTCAAATTCAGTGTATATGGCAAACCAAACATTTGTATGGAGTTCTCTTGGATGGTGTTAAAAGAGATCTCTGCATTTAGAAAGCAAAGAACTTCTTCTTCTTCTTAGTCTTCTTCTCAACGTAGGCTAGGAGCTCCCCTTGTCGCACAAGAGCATCCTCGAGAGCCTGCAAATTCAATAATAGGTGTAAAGAATTTTTGCCTGCAAAGATTCAAGCATTCTTGATATTTTGACGACTCTAGACTTGGAGCATGTTTCATGACGCTTATTTAAAACAGAAAATAAAGTTCCTTTAAGCAACTTTTTATTTTTAAGCGTGTACAGATAACACAGTTCTTAGTACTGATAAAGATTGTTATTGTCAAAATAAATAACCTACATATTTCCAGCTATGATGAACAAAAACATTTTATGTTAAAACTTATTTATTTATAAATAAGCATTTTGAATCTTATTTAGGATGTGATACATAAAGGATGAGTTGTTTTATATAACAAAGATTTTTGTTTTAGGAAATATAAATTGCATCTGTAGATCTGTTAAATAAAAATATGTAAAATGATTATCAAGAGAACCATTCCATACCTTTCTTGTAGCTGAAAGCTCTTGTTCCAGCATACCAACACGATTCAACGCGGCATTCAGCATTTCCTCTTTCTCGGGTGGCATAGTAGTTGGTTTCTTGCTAAGAACAGTCACCCTCTCTTCCAGCTCGTTCATGCGTTTCATCATGGCAAAGTAATCAGCGCTCGAAATGGCAGGAGCCTGCAATCCGTAGCCATTAGATTGACCTTTGACCAAATCATCAGCGCCGTGCATGGAAGAAGAATAGAGGGTGGCATCTGTGAGTTTCTTTGGCATGTTACGTGTCATGCGCACCATAGTAACTACTCCCATGACTAAGGTCACAACTCCGGTAAAGAGATGATTGCCAAGTCCTTCGGAAGGCTTGCAAGTATCGTGGACGGGGAAATAAGCTGCAGCTATAAGTAGAGAAATGGGAAAAAGACGTTAAATGTAAGTTCATAATATTCTTAATCTTTTCACAAGATAATGTTGCCTTAAAAACCAGGTTATGACTGCAGATTTGACAAGAACCTCGGTATCAATGTTGCATGACGAAAACGATGAACAATTCTTGATGAATATTAAGTCAAATATAATTATCATTCTTAAATAAATATAATTGTTAGTCTTAATCTATGGTTCGTGTCAGGAAAAATTAATTGTGGTATCTTAAAGATACCGCAATTTACAAGGGTTGCATCGAGCATGTTTAGCTAAGCTTATGTAATAAGGAAACGTGCTCATTTGAAAAGTGAGTAAAGACTTTACTTTTGAAAAAAGTTTTGGAACTAAAAGTCCTCAAATGAAAGTAACTTCTAAGAAAGGTCGAAACATGGCAAAAAAAAGTTTCTATCTAAAAGTAAATTTTATCCTTGAGACAAACTTGCTCTAAAGGATTACAAAAATTTATATCTGCATTTGTACTTAACCAACAATCGAAGACCATCTATGAATTCTAAAAATCCCATTAAGGTATGTACTTATAGAAAGAGCAAATCTGTCACCTTTTGCTGCTTTCTGCCAATTTGAGTCAACAGCCTTGTCTACCACTCGGACATACACATCAGACTCATATGAACTGAGCTTTTTGGTTACCTGCAGATAAATCGAGATTAGTCGGGTAGTTGTAGTCTAGACAATCCTGAATATGTTGTATACCATTTAAACTATGGAGTTCTAGAAGGGAACTTTAAAACTTTTTACCTACGTCATTTGGACTAACTTGATATACTATGACTGTAATGCCAACACATGTTGAGAATTGTTACAACTTACTTCCTCATGAACAGGAAAGAGATGTGCCCTAGAAACCTTCGGAGAATCTGTTCCCTTGTTGAAAGAGCTGTTTTTCTTCACATTCTACATGTAAAAAAGTAGGGTAATATGACACCATAAGGACCACCCAAACACATAAGCATTGTAAATTCAATTTAAAGAAGAGGCACACCTCAGAATTGACATCTGATTTGAATATTTCGAAGGCGACATAAAGCCGACAGTGAAAGCATAGAACAAGGTTAGTATAATGAAAGACAAAGTACCTTGGCATTCTCGTCCTCAGAAATTGTTTTCTCGTCCACAGATGAAATAAGAACTTTGCTCGAGCATTTGTGCTCACCATTACATACCATCTGCACAATCAGATTAACATTGATTTTTAAGCATTTTCCGTAGTTAATAATCAGAAATATAAAATCAGAAGCCAACAAAGAAAAGTTGGAATTTGGAATAAAGCTTAAAAAGAAAATGAAAATAGATGACCTTCATAATTTCTGAATCATTCCAAGGGCCCTTATCCGAACGCATGCAACCACCTTTATCTGCACAGGTGCATGTACCTCCCAAGAACTCGGGTAGCTCACTAATATATGATTTAAAAAAAAAAAAAAAAGCAGAACGCTGTGAATCAGTTGTGGAAAGAAGAGATTAGTTGGTAATTGCTGTTGTTTCAAGGGAACTAACATCAAATTATAAGTAGAAAATCAATACCGAAAAGTTCATAATTTATTTACAAAATTACCTAGCATCAATGATCTCAAGCAGCTTGCTCTGGTATTTGTTGCCCAAAACCTGGTAAAAAGAAACATTGCAACTTGTTGATTTGATTCCAAAAAGAAAGTTAAAACTTTGGGTAAGCCGAATTTAATTTACATGGATCTTGGCAGTGGTCTTTGGGTCAAGGAATGACTTGACGGTATTCCACAAGAGCCTAAATCCAGATCCCGCATTGATGATGTACATGCGGCAGAGGGTCTATACAACAAAACAAGCAATCAAGTGAACAAGGAAATTTCAAATCTGCAATTGAATGAAAAACAAAGAAAAAAAATACAACTTCAGGGGATAAAAAAGAAAGCAAAATAAATACCTCGGGATAATTATCACCATCAATCTTCTGAAGTCGCTGAATGAGTTCCCTAGCAGCTTTGTTGAATTGTTTCAGTCCCTGAACCAAATTAATGACTAAATGAAGTCCATTCTTACATTATTTGTTACAAGATATTTAAATGGTTTCTACTATTTCGGAGTGTGGCCATTAAATTTATCCTAAAAGAAAAACCAATTGACAAAAAGGCCAGATTTACCAATCATATTGTCTGAAACTTGAAATTGGAAAAAGTAATTTGCCTTTCTTGTCTGTCTAAACATTTGGCTATGGAAAACTAACAAATGTACTTACAAAAATTATAAGTATAAGAAACTTGCTACATACCACTCCTTGTACATCCAAAATGGTTGTGCTCTGGTCAATGTGTCTTTTTGCTGCAATGGAGCAGGCCGGGAACTTATCAATAAAGGTCCTCTCAAACTCCAGTACATGGTACTTAAGATAACGGTCCAATGTTGTGACTTGCATGAGCTTGGTGGAATCAACCTGCCCAAGTCTTTCAATGTAAACAGGTCTGCCATCCTTGTCAACTCCATGGTGCCCTTGTGGATAATATTTAAGGACCTCGTCTCTCTCCTTAAAATCAAAATCCTAGCAAGAATTTACGATGAAACAAATGACAATCAGATGCATAATAGTTTTATGAGCTTCTGAACAATTGATATGCCTTTCCAAATAAAACAGCCTGCCACATATTAATATCATAAATACCTCCATAATTGTATCAGCATTGAATTCCTTCCTCCAGTGAATCATATCAGCCCACATTTGCTTTGTTTTCTCAATATCAAATTTCCTGGCCTTCAAGAACCTATACCATACCATCACATGAAAGCAATTCATGAAAGCAATTCAAAACCAACCGTTATTCTTATTTCTTTAAATTATGGCCCTTGACCTCATATTATAGACAAGAATTTTTTTTGTCTCGTTCAGCATTGGACAGTTCTTCAATAGTACAAATAATAACATATATATCCAAATTAATGTGACAATGATTGAAGACCTTGAACTGTACAAATAATGAACTAATTTTCCAAATTAGTGTGACAATGATGTAAAAATGGATTGACTTGTATTTTTACTAGCTGAAGGAAGATGAGTTCAGTTTCTCGAACAGATAAATAGAATATGAAAATATGCAATCAATAGTATTTGAAAATAATTCCTGATCGGAAGCTGCCACACAAGAATTCAGCAGAAGAATAACCTACCATATGTGAGATCTTGGTCTTAAGGATCACCTAAAGTGTACAGAACCCAGTAGATAATGGAGATTTTACACTCATTTAAATCAAAATATAAGGATTCCTGTCACAACTCTCACGTACATCCACAATCTCAGAACATCCAGAAATGGAGATGAAATTCTTCACAATGTAACAATGGCACATGAGTTCTGAAGTACAGTTTGGGTGTTTGTTGAATCCATCTCGGAATCAAGGAAGTCCAATTTCTAGTTGCAAACCAGTTTTACATCATAGTAAATAAAGTATAGCATTTTACGAATACAGAATAAAGTAGAAAGTAACCTTAGCATCATGTGATAGTCATCATATTTTGCAGGTAGTAGTTCTTCCAGGATAAGTGCTTGACGTAAGGCATCCACAGCCTTCAATTCCTCATCAGCATGCTCATCCACAATCTCAACAGACATAACTCTACTGTTTCTGCGGCCCTTTTTAGTCAAAGAATGCCTGAACTTCGAGGAGGCACTAATTGCCACCTTCCTAAGAGACCTGATCCTTTTCTTCCTCTCATCCTCAGAGTTCTCGATATCAACTTTCTCGAGACCTGAATATATTTTGCAAAACGGGACTCTTCATCACACAAAGTCCATGTTGTTAATCTCAGAACCCAAAACTGGTATTTATTTATGTTCTTTTACAACATTTAATGCAAACAAATGTAATACCTGTAGCTTTGTCACGATGTAAGATCTTTTACTATATATTATGATATTCTTGACTATGAAGATCAAATTCAAGCCATCTCATTAAAATTTCAAACAGAACATTGTCTAGAATGGAAGATTAGCCAGACTTCAAATTGTTTCTATATTAATTGGTTTCAGAACTTCTGATTATTACCAGAAATATATTTTTGCAGTTACTGCTATGTATGTGGTCCAAAGGATCAGCCATCACATAAAGCTTTTAAACTGAGTAAATTGGTGAATTCTTACAGACAACATTAGAAAAAAAATAAAAATTAAACTGATCCATGAATTTAAAATAAATGTTAAGAAAATAACAGCAACTAGGAAGTAAATACACTTACTTGGCCTGGCAGGGCGTTCTAGAGGTCCTGACGTGTTGTCACTCATTATTGCAGTTCACAAGTTTGATAACTTGAGAGACGCAATTTTCACTCTATCACAAGAGCCAAAAACTTGCCTAAACGCCTACACATTTTGCAAGAGGTAAGTTAGATATTCACGAGTACAATAAATCAAAAGGCAAATATTAACATCGCATCACACAGTAAGAAAATTGGCCAAAGATACTCTAATATTGACTTGAAACAGTAAAACTAATTACATCGATGAATAGATATTCATATTCAGAGAAACACAGTTTGTATGCGCATATGTATTTATACATTAATGAACTATACATATGAAATTCATTGTTATTCCTGAAAAATACCAGAAATACTGAAAACCCCTTTGTGCAGCAAATTTATCATAATATCTCAAAATTTTGTACCTGGTTTGTTCACAATAAATAAAATAGAAAAATATGAAACAAATTCATTACAATGCGAGGAAACCTATTAAAAATACACATAAATCAATTCTTATAGATAATAATCAAAACCTACATTGCTACGATGAAGTGATCAATGCAAAAATTGGTCCGAAAACATGTACAATTGGAATTCACAACATCATAACATCAAGAATTATATCATAACATTGATTTAAAAAAAAAAGAATCATTACACAACAGATAGTTGAAATCCGATTTATTCGTGAGAGGAAGATAGAGAAAGAAAGAGAGGAGAAATAGAAGAAAAATTACCAACCAAAATGCAGGGCTTAGAAAAAGAACAGAAGAGAGTTTTAAATCCCCGATTTATTCTCACAAATTGCGGTCCAAATATCACAATCAATGGCCGTCAATTATTCATTCAATCCCATTCCCTATTTTCCCTTCCTCAAAATCACCAAACCCAAATAATTATTCTAAAAATATAGAGACAAATTTTCGTATGTATAGGTAAACACGTTTGTTAAGGAAAGATTTTCTCTCTCTCTCCTCTTTATTTTGTGTGAGAGAGAGAGAGAGAGGACTGCGCGTTGTGTTGTGCCAGCCACTCCGTTCAAATTTCCCCCTTTAAACTAACGTCTATTTCCCGGGACTTATAACTTTTAAATTGGTTTTAAAGATATTTTTGTTTTCCAACCATTTGGTTGACTTTTATGTCGGTTTTTTAAAAAAATAAAATAAAATAAAAATAAATTGATTGTAAGTCGTAACTCTTATGGATAAATAGTTCAACATAATAATTACAGTTTCATTCCAATTTATCACTTGGATCTATAAAAATCAATAAAGTGACATTTGATAAATGATAATCATTATTTACTGGAAAAATTGTATCAGCAGTCTCTAACATTTTTTATTTTTGCAAACTTTATTCTAACATTCATTTTATACCATTGAATGTCTCTAATCTTTAATAAATATCCAGTTGAAGTCCAAATAGATGAAAATCATTCATTTGACCACCAAGAAAAGTGAATTCTGATTAAATTGAAAGGGGTAAAATGGTAATTTAATATTAAAAGAAAAAATATAAAAAGGGCTACTATTAGGATAATTATATTACCACTACAAAATTTATTAAGTACGCCACATTATATCCACACCACAATTAAAACATTGTTTTAATAAATACACAACAACAAATTTACAATTATATACCTGATTTTAAAAAAATAATAAAAATGAAGAATTCAGAGTTTTAATAAATACATCACAACTAAACTTCATCGTTTTTCTTTTCTTCGAAACATTTATTTTCACTGTGTACTTTTTATGTTGCAGGGATCCATGGAACATTGTCAGTTTCTTCTCATTCACGTTATCAAGAGATATGGGTAAGTTTTTCTTCTCATTCACACTATTTTTTCTTAATTATTTTTTCAAAAAAGAGGAAGATAAAGAAGAAGAAAAAAAACTTGATTTCAAGGAAATGGGTATGTGAAACTTACAAAAATGATGGAATTTAAAGTTCTGCTCACCTTTCTCGTTACAAATTATTATATATCTAGTTTTATATTTGTTTATTTATTCATTTTGATTAGTGAAGATTTCAGTAACATAAAAGGACATTAGCGAATGGAGGATTGGACTCTCAAAATTCAAGAATTTTGATTGAAAAAGAAAAGAATTGCATTTTGCAATTATAAGATCTAACGAATTGTAAAAAAAAAAATATAAAGAACGATTAAAAAATTGATGAATTCTTACATGATGTGATGTCACGGCACGAGACTCGTAATTATAGAAAAGAAGAAGAAACGAGGTTTAGGTTTGTGGTGTGATTTTAAGATGATGTGATTAATTAAAAGTATATTAATTATAATTATGTAATTTTACTTAAGGTTAATTAAGTAAATACGAAAAAAATTAAAAATTGTGGTGTAGTTAATAAATTTTGTAGTGAAAATATAATTACCCCTACTATTATCCCACCCCAAACAAAATCCACATAAACCCACCCTCGCCTTCTTCTTCCATCCATCTTACCCCACTCATTTCATTTTCTTCTCCAACCTCATCCCCAACCCCAACAGATCTCAATCTCCATTTTTTATTTTATTTTTCTCTATTTTTCTTCGCACTCGAAAATCGAGAAGAATAGAATCAATTCTCACTGGTCTTCGTTGTCTAAGTTTGAAAAATCATTTCTTCAAAAAGAAATGATGTTTGCAAATTTGAAAGATTAAAAACTATGTTTTTTTTTTCCTAAATAATGATTGAAAATGTGAATTGTTAAGAATTGGTGGCGGAGCCTCTGGTTTTCGGTTTGAATTTGGGTAGGTGGGTTGGGGTTTGTGTAGGGAAAGTCACGACTTTTTTTTTTTTTTTGGTTTTTTTTTTATTATTTTGTTTGATTTCTTATAATATGAGACTAACTAATTTATTATTTACCCTTATTAAATTTGGTCAAATTCAATTGTTTTGGTTAACTAATGGTCAAATGGACTCCAACTGCATATTTATTAAAAGTTAGGGTCCTTTCCTGATACAAAATGAAGGTTATGATAAAGTTTGCAAAAATTGAAAAAGTTAGAGATCGTTATTGTAATTTTTCCTTATTTATTTACCTGACATTGCACTTATTCCGCGTCAACAACTAACAGCCACATGTTCATCATTAATTTACGGTTATGTCATTGATTTTCTTTAGTCGAATTGGACTAAATACTTTAGTTGAAATCAAATTAAAGTTTAACTATTCAATTTAACAAAATTGAACCAGAATTACTTGATTGGCTCTAGAGTTAAAGTATAGTTAAGGCAGATGAAATTTACCCGCAACACTGGTTCATCAAACAACGAATGTATGATAGAATAGTTGGTGGCCAACAAGGCACAACATTAGTTAGGCCATGTTTGATAGCCTTCGTTTTCCCTAGAATTAGGAATTCATTTTCCAATTTCTTACTTTTAACTTGTTTGATGGTATAAATTTTTCATGAAAAACCATTTCTTACTTTGATTCACACGTGCACCTTTTCTCATCTTTTGATGATTTTGTTTTCCCACCTTTTACGTGGGTTTTTATTTTCCAGGTTTTTTTTTTTTTTTTTTTNTAGACACTTTCCATGTAAAACAAAACCAAACGAATAGAAAATTTAAAAATTTTTCAGTTGGAAAATTATATCAATCAAACACACTTAATTAATAATTTCCTGCAAAACATTTTCTAGGCAATTATTTTCTCTGGAAATCATTTTCTTTCTACCCATTTTCCACCATTGCAATCAAATGGACCCTTAGAGTAATATTGACAAGAAATCATTCCTTGAAAGACCATTTTATGAAATTTCTAACCTAAATCTAAGTTAATCTTATCACAATCACATCAATTTTAAGTAAATAATTTATTAATAGGTGAAAATTAATCATCTTTTCTTTAGGGATAGTGTCAATGGGTTCTTCTTTATAGTGGCACTCCACTAAGTTGTTGTTGCAAACCTATAAAGAATTAGCATTGAAGTTACAGTGAAAATAGAGCAAAAATAAATTAGAATTTAAGTTGAAAATATGCTTGTAAATCTTGAATTATTCGTCTTCTTTTTATATTCATAGACAGCTATGGACTTGGCTCAGGCGGGAACATATTTGGCATTAATAGATACATGGAGGTTGGCTTTTAATAATCCCTAATCAAGTGAAGTAAATAAGAGGAGTTTATCTCATTCAGAGTTTTAACTGATTAAGACCCTGTTTGGTGATGATTAAAATTAAATTTTTAATACATTTTGATAGAAGTTAATGAAATGTGTGGTTAAAAATTGTACGATCCATAAAATGTATGATTGAAATAAGGGAAAATTTCATATATAAGATATTAAGTTTGATTTATTTCAAAATTAAGAAACAAGGTTTATTATTTCAAAAATCAGATATTAATTAAATGTTAATTATAAAATAAATATTTAAATTAATTGGTCACAAATTATTTATCGATCACGAATCAGAAATTTTATAGGTCATAATTTATTTTACTGTCATAAATAAAAAAATTTATAAGTCATAATTTATTCATCAATCACAAATCACAAATTTTATAAATCACGACTCAAATTTTTAGGACGCATTATTTATTGGTCACAAAATAATGCGGTCACAAATTATCAGTCACATATTGTTCATTTATCATGAAGTATCTAATTTATTGGTCACAATCTCAAATAATTGGTCGCATATTATTTATTGATTGCAAATAAACCAATTTATTGGTCATAATCAACTAAATCATCGTCACAAACATTCACACCATGCTATCCCATCCACAAATCGCACCGCTGCCGCCACGACCTCCACCTGCACAACTAACAAAAAACCACCACAAACCACCAACACTGCCAAAATATGGAAATTACTACCACCACCACTCTACCAACAAAAATCAAAATCAATGACTCATCGCCACGCCAAATCCACCACCACCTGTAGCACCACCATCACGACTTGTACCACCACTATCGCGCCAAGGTCACCAACAACACCACTAGCCAGCCAAAAGGTCTCCCCATCGCCAACGTCCTTAAAACCCTTACCACCACCACGCTCACCACCGCCATAT